GAAAAAGATGCCTGCTTTACCGTGTGGAATCGTCCTGTATGTTTCAATCAACTAACGGCTCCTTTTGTCAGAACTACTATGCAGTATACAGATGTATACAGTATGCAGCAGCATGTTTCTGTTTTACCTTGATCATATGCGCGCTCATGAGGCAAAAGCACGGATCGGAGAGGAGCAGACAAAATTGCATAGAATGGAGGAGCACACTTTAGGTCTATGGACCAATGTAAGGTCCAGCAGCTTTTCCGCAACAATCGAACAATTTGGATTACAGTATGGAATTCTTAAGCTTTGTTTGTGTGATTCTTGAGCCCTTGATTGTTCTTATTTTCCTCTTCCTGTCCTGTATGCGCTCTGTGGCTGATGACTGCTGGATGACCCAGGCTTGGGGAAGCTCCTGGCTATGAAAGATGCTTTTCAAGCTCAAGCGAAAACATTCCCACCAGCTATCAGCTGAACGGAAAACTGCCAGGACCTGCCAGGGGTCAGGCAACGGATTTACTCATGAGGCTGCAAAATTCATTGCCATACCCTGCCTTGCACACCTGCAATCAACATCAACTGGCGGTAGAGCTGCTGCCAAAAATGTGTTGATCCCGGGATGGACTTCATGACAATGGCAGTCCGCGATAAATCGTTGGCATTGCCGTCTCGTGAGAGTTGTTTTTGTGGATCGGGAGACGAAGACATGCAAAAAAGGGTTTCGGCCTTTCCTTCAGGTACTTACAGCTTGGACTGTCGCCCTCATGCTGATCCCTCGCGCATTAGTCCGGCCAAAGATGTCTCTGCTGACCAGGACAGGCTTGATGCCTGAACTCGGATTGCCACAGTTACTGCAGAAGTGCAGGCATGGCCACGTGGGACGCTGGTCTTCTACAAAAGCGAGCAGATCGAGAAGCAGCAGGCCGTGAAAGAGCAGTTTTTTTGTAAACAAACATGCGAGAATCAGAAACAAACAAGACTCATGGTGACATGGCAGTTCACACCAACAACATGTTTTCCGATTTTGATAATTTTGCTGAGCAAAATTCAACAGCGCAGGGTGGCCTCCGAGCCTCGATTCCAGCAGTTGTCAAGTCTTTCAACGAGAGCGCGCGATACCCAGAGTGTGCTGGAAGCTTGTGGATTGCATTTGCGGGGCCTACACTGTTGTCTCGCAATTGCACAGCAGATACCGATCACAGAGCACCTTCAATACTACTGGAATGTACATGAATACTGGATGCATTTCTTACTAGTAGTAACAAGAAGCTATTAACTTAATTTAAATGTAATTCTAATGGCTTTTTGTTACTACTAGTAAGGCACTTGTTACTAGTAGCGTGGCACTTGTTACTAGTAACAAGATTTAGTTGGATGCATTTCAGGACATGACCTACGACTTGGACATCCGTGATCATGCTGACTGTGATCGCATCCGGATCCGTGTGATGCCGCTGGGTTCTTAGCGTGAACGAGCAGAGTTTCACATCCATCGAGTTGTTTTCAACTGCAGTCAAGGATTTTTCTGGATACAAGTCTTCGCACCTTGATTTGTTTGGGCTTCTATTCTTTAGATTTACTGTACAGTAGATTTATCATGCTGGTTGAGGCCTAGGGCTGAGGATTCTGGATATATTTCGCATTGAATCACTCGTTGCGGGTGCGGTGCATAGCAGATTGGAGGTCGGAGGGGATGAGTCCTTCCGCGGATGCATTAACTTCCGCGATACCCAGGCGAGAGGCATTTCTTGAGGCAGTCGGAGATATGATAGACCAGTGGTCTACCCTCAATGTACTTGTAAGACCAGTCAAGGGACCTTGAATCTGACGAGGAACACTACTATTGATGGGCTTGGAGCATTTTTGTGCATATTCATGCATATTCTCTCCTGCAATGGTTCAACATGTTTAGCATTCAGCATCCTAATGCCAATATGATCAATATGGAATTTTGTTTCTTTGCGCTTGGAGGGGGGACAAGCCAGATGTGTTAGCACTATCCTCTCTTCATTTATTGCTGCCGTTCCTTTTGGCTCATCAGTGCAGTCACTTCACGTGTGTATCATTTCAAGCCGGGCTCTTGGGATCCAATCTTCACAATTAGAAAGCCTTCGTAGCCACTCGTGTCATATCGTGTGAAGAAGATTGCAACGATCGCGTTCGGCTTACGTTTGGAGACCATGTACAGAGACTTCATGTAGCCTCCTCATAGTTTTGGTGTCTTGCCATTCGAGGCATCACGGAGATGGCTGTGCAACCAAATGAGAAGCCTCCGGCTGAGGAGGCCCCAAGTCGTGAACAATTCCTGAAGGCTTTGACGGGAGCAATTTGGATTGAACGGCCACGACTTGCTGGCTCAGCCTTGCCAGAAGAATTCAGAATTCGGTGCGAGCGCCAGGAAGATTTCTTCGAGAAGTACTTGAGGAAGTTTCAAGATCCACCATCCTTTGCGTTCAGTCCCTAGAGTCCGACAATGTTTCAGCCAGTTTGTTCTCGATTGTCCAAGGATTCAACAGACAACGGTTCTTGCTCTAACCCTACTGTAGGTGTCATTAGACCGATTAGACACCCCTATAATTACTTGAAACACGTGACACGAGCAGTTGGTACTAGGTACTCATCCTTGTACATATCTTTCTACAGAGGCCTGATTCTACAATCCAATTTATTCCTATAATAACTGCTTAATCAAGTGAAGTGGGTCAAAATGCGATTAACGACTTATAACGACTTGCACTTGGGATGCTTGCCTTTGCCTTGGTACCAATTGAAGGCATTGTTTATTGTTCATCGTTGTTTCCTCTCAAAATTGGTTAAGACCTGACCACACGCATATTTATTGACACGGAATGAATGAAGGCTGACACATCGTTTGTTTAGTTTGTCAAGCACAAAATAGCAGTTGACATTTGATCTTCTATTCATTAGGGCAGCCGGTCCGCAGACAAGTGCTGAGAAGCCTCCAGCAGTAGAAAGACCTGTTCTCATTGCTTCGGATCACTTCCCAGCAATGCGTTTTGCCATGATATGTGTCTTGCAATGCGTTTTGCTGGCTCTTTGGGCAAGCGCTGCTACTCGGAAAGATCTGGCACAGTTACGCAGTTCCGTTGCTCCGGAATATGTTCTTCTTTAGTCAAGCCATAATCGAGGTTTTTGATGATTCAAGTTTCAAGCACCCCATGTATGGAGGCGTTCAACGAATGCCATGTTAATCTTTGTGCTTCATTGAATCATTAATCCAAAGCTTGAGAGCAGCTGCTCTCTTCCTCCGCGAACGGCCTGGTGAGTTAATGAAATCACTTATTCTTCTGTTTGAAGGCTGAACAACCTTGTTCCCAAAAACGAGATTGGTTTCGAGAATTTCGATCTTTAAGTCTACGTGAATTTGTAAAAAAAATCCTTGCCAAGAGGTTTCAATAGCTGACGGTACGCGTGAATCCAAGGATAATGATGTGGACACTGTGCCGGAGATAGCAAAGGCGGAAGAACTTTGGTTTTCGTTTTCGTTCTTTGTAGTAGTGTAGATGTTTGAGAGATGAAATCGCTGAGGCGCAGCATATGCATATAAGTTATGAGTACCAGCTGCACCGCACCAACATGCCCAGACAGGGTCAAGGTGACCTTTGGGTGAATTTGCAGTCGGCTCCCAGAGTTCGCTTGTGGGGAATAGCACACTCGCCCAAGTTTGGCAAGGGTGCCTTGGCGAGAGTCGATTGGAACTGAACGTGACAATCGGTTGATTAGGTCTGAGATTTGTCTCTTTGATTAGGTCGATGTGCATGCTGTTCTTCTAAATAATTAGAACGGAATGCTGCGCCGTCAGCCGTCAGCTAAACAAAACGTGCCACAGTTCATCCCGAGAAACCTCACATCCCCCAACCATTTCTCATTCATACAATGTAATTCATTAATTTGTTTTCTGGAATAATGTCTAAGAGCATTCGCACCGTTGTCCTACACCAGGAACAATTACCATCTTGCTGGACTCGGGTTCGAAGACCATGTACGCAAGAATTCAATTGGACCAGCTGAAACAAGAGCCTTGGTTGCTGTTGTTTGAAGAGTCTAGGCCAGTCTTAGAATCATGTGCTACAGTCGAGGAATGTGAGGGTTTTGATGGGCAGTGACTTTGTTCGACCGCCACGAAAATTCAAGAAAATATCTTCGGACTTTACTGGTAAAAGCAAGGTCAAGACTAATCTTAAAAGTCCGTGGCAGCTGTGTGAGAATCATTGGAACATGCTCAATTTCTTGAAGCTCCTGAAGGACACGCCTTAAAAGTTACAGTATATACAATGATTTTCCCTGGTGTTTTGGTTTCAAGGCACGTGTCGGTTGATGCAACATCCTTGCAGTTAGCAGAAGTACTAAAAGCCTAGGGGGTGTTCATGGTCTGACCTGAGCCCTTCTTTCAAGGCAAGCGGACCCCAAACGATGCTTTGCTTGGGAACTAATGGCATTCGGATAAATTGGGTAATTAGGATTGATAATGGGTTGCTGGTATTGTTTTCGTAAGGTGATCCAGGGCGAGCACCCAGCGATTCTTGAGTTGCTTGATTCGTCAAGGACCAATGTCTAAAATACCCATTTCCTGCTCGAACTGGGGAAGTTGAGCAGCAGCGGCTGAAGACATTGCGCAAGCGCCACCACGACATTCAAACCCTTGTACATCGAGAAGAGACCAGTTATGTCACCGGCAAGGTGTCCCGGCTCATGCTGCGTGGATGTAAGACCAAACGTTTGAGATACTTTCCCCGATGCATGCACTTGTGCGAATGGAGACACACGGAGATGTGAGGACTTGTAAGGAGCAGAACTCACTAGCACGTTGCATGTATTTAGGCTTCACTGAGCTTGTAGAGGAGCTGTGTGGTGCTTAACCAATCTTAACCATGCTTGACATTTTAGATTCCCTGACTAAAGATTGTGAGGATAAGGATCTAATCATAGGCCCTCCTCATACAGTCTTCAGCTTTCCTACCTTAGGCCACCCAGCTTCTGCCATGGACAGCGACTTGATCCAATCAGCCTGGTGACGTATGCACATTAATCATACTAGCATATAAAATATGTAATATATAATATACATAATATGTCTATATATATATACAGTAAACAGTGTATAATATATACTGTATATATATAAATGTGTATTAGAAGTGCCTCTTCAAAGTTTGTGATGACTACGTTTGCACAAGAGCGTCGCATTCATCTGCGGGCATGCTCCAAACCCTGGGAAACGATAGGGGACCTCACAAAAAGACGTTTCGAGCCTGCTGGTTCCAAGAAGCAAACAAATCAGAAATGGATTGGATAACATCTGTTATGTCAGAATTGCTGTGAGTAGATGCCTTAAGCTCAAGAAACCGGGGCAAAAAGCCACAAGAAACGTAAGAACGCTTACAGCTACAAACACTTCCAAGATCTTTTGCCACGTGCGAGTAGGGAAATCCTGAGAAGGCTAAACACCAACACCCCGTGCTCATAATGACGCAGCCACTTTCCTAGTCCTAGCTAACTCACCGCTGACTTCGTTGCAGCCAAGTTCTCGCTTGTCATTTCCAGAACAGCACTTGACTGCAAACACAGATGTGAGCTATGGCCACTCCTTTGCAGCATTCCAAGCAGATTCAACATGAAGAATCGACGCCGGCAGGGCTGCTCAACGCATAACCATTCTTCAAATGTCGAGAGAGCCTTGCGTCAAACACAGTGAGTTTAGCGAGCATACCAAGACAGCAATCGCCATTGCTGCATTGCTGCGACCGATGTAGTTCAAGGCAACCATTGTATATACACAATTTTGCCAGAAACCGTGTTTGGTGAGGCTCTGCACTCGGAACTACCACAAACCTACAAAGGGTAGTCGTCATCCGCATAGTTATATACATCATGTTACATCGTCAAAATCCATTGCAAACACTAAAAGGCCGTGCCAGTTTGGCACTGGGGCTCCCAAGCGCAAGAGATTCAAGCATACTTGAGTCATTGAGCCTCTGGACAGCGAGCCCTGAAACGAACGAATATGTTGCCTGCACTACTGTGACCAAGGACAGGTACAAACTGGGTGTCGTGCAGAAGCACAATTCCGATAAGCTGATTGGCATTACCTTGCGACAAGGAGATCGCGTTGTAAAGGAGGTGGACTTTATTGAAACGGATGCAGCCCATGATGTGAGACTTGACGCAAGGATTGGGGTCATGTTCGTTCTTTGAGCATGTATTTTTCTTTGTTGTGATGTCCTTGGTACGATGTGTAACATCATATTTTGCACGGAAGCATCCTTAGTCGTCAATTCATCAGGCCATCATCTGATGAAGTCTTCCAGCCTCCCGAAAGCGACACGGTCAAATGCTTGAAGCCTCAGGACAGCACGAAAACCGTTCATTGATGTTCATTTCTTAGACATAGACACACATGCACCAGCACCACATGAGGCACGCTCAATATTACTGTAAGAGCAGCTCCTTTTGGATGTCCTGTTGATTTTGTGGAAGTGCTCAAAACCCCGTAGAACGATAGGGGACACAAATCACGATGACCATTCGATGACCTGTGTTTGTGACATACTTGAGCTCAGAACGATAGCTTGGGAAACGACTCTCCCAGCTATAGGGCCAGTTCTGTCTCGGCTTGAACAGAATTGCGAGGGCTCCGGATTTGGATTGAACAACAAGATTCATGAGAATTGTTAGTGCAAATGCAGTGCAGTTTGTAAAACCTCAACCAAATTCGAAGCTGCCTGCAACCACTTCGTGCCAATTTCGCTGTTCGATGCCGTGTGGAAAAGTCCTGTGCCCACGAGGAATACAAAGAGCTGATTGGAACCCTCGATTTGACGCCACCGCATCAGAGATCATCAGCTCTGAATGATCTCCTTTTGATGCTGTCAAGCGAGAACCCAGTACAGGACTGGAGATGCGAACAGAGTAGGATGAAGTTTGAGCGAAAAACGGCAAAAGTATTGCACATATGACATAATCACTTGCATCATATGACATAATCTTACGTATGTTTGTTGGATCAAGCTGTTAGTGCAGAAGCAAGACAGCGAGATTTCTCCCCGATGATCGTTTACTGGTTACGTTACGCTGCTGTCATACTTCGTTACTGAATGCCGTCAGGAGTGGGGCTTTGCTACATTGCTCTTCCAAAGCTTTTTGCTGCCTGGGGACATTGCTGTGATGCTTGAAAATCCAGAGCCTCCGAGCCTTGTAGACATTGACGTACAAGAATGATCAAGAATGTACAAGAAAGATCAATATATATATATAATATATATATATTTATACTACTAGAGGGTAGAGCGAATGGTAGAACACATTGTTGTAACCCTAACCATGCTGAGACATGACATGAAGAGGCGTCTTCACTGGACCGGTTCTTTCGTTCGTGCTGCACACAAATTGCCTTTGGCAATTTGGTCGTCCCAGGATTCTTGTTTCTAATAGCGAACATTGTTCCTAGTAGTAAGGCCAGGAGCCCCTAGTAGCGTCCTTGCTCCTAGTCCCAGGAATATTGAACGATGGCACCACATTGCTTTCGACTATTCGGCAGTCACAGCGAGTCATGCGGGCCATGTGAGTCGCAGCGAAGGTCTTCCGGCTTCAAAAGGAGAGACTCCTGTTGCACAAGCTACTTAGTAAGGATGTCATGTTGTTGCTACCTATGGCTGGCTTGAACTGTTGGATACAAAGGCCGGTTCACAGAAGCTGAAATAGACAGTGAAGGTGCCACAAAGTTGCACATTTGACTATCCCAGGTACAATGTGGATCAACATGGAGAAGCGAGCATTTAGACTCAATGGAAATGCGAAGAATACAAAGGTCGGTGAATTGCACATTGATCTTTTGGTGCATGCTGCGGAAGATCATCCAATCATCTATGCAAACATTGTACTTGAAGACGAGGATGAGCATCAGTGCCTCATTCCGAGCATTTGTGTATGTGGCACTAGGCGTATCGAGCTCGATACGGAAAGAAGGGACTTTCCTGTGGCAGCATTTTTCCTTGTCTTTGCCCATTGTATCCCACCTTTGTTCCAGTCACACCAGGTGCATGCAGTTCGGCTATCCTACTTTAACGGACAATCCAAAAGATCAGCTGTTGGCAGCCGCCAAAACGCCCTTGCGCTTCTTCTCGATCAGCGAAATTGATGGGGAGGACTGGCGGGAAATGACATCATGAAGCTTTTTTGCCAAACATGTTTGAAGGCGACAGGATAGGGGATTTCAACAATTTACCACAGTATTTGACAAAGCCGCAGCCGCAGCACACATTTGCTGCATCTTATGAGCCATATTGAGCAACCATCAGAACAAGTTGCTGAGGCTACTTTGCACTCTCTGACTCTGACATTGGTTTGCTGTTAACTCAGTTCCCAAGTCAAAGAACGGTGGTGGAACAGAAAGGCGAAGAGTCCAAGCATTTGTAGGTGTTTGAACAAAGTGGTTTCACACTTGACTGCGGAAGCTAGTTACTGCATTAGCCCTTTACTGCAAGAACGGTAAGGTGCAAGGGTCCGAAGAACAGAACTGCTTAACAAACGCACTAGCACTTTACCAAAGCTAAGGAAACCTGTTTTGGGGGATATCATGCGAACAACCACCATGGAAACAACAAAAAGTGGAGTCACGGCGTGTGCAAAAGTTTTCATCCGCGCAGGTACAGAAGTTTGCGTCCAAGCTTCCATCCAGTCGATTTCCCTAGCTTCGTTGGCGTGACTAGGAAATCGACCGTCACGCCCCCTGCGACTTAAAAGTTGAGAAAAACAGAAACTCTTAGTTACAGAGGTGGACACACACAGAACTCCGATATCGGCGCTCTGGGGGAACTTACTAATCACCTAAAAAGCCTTAGAACGAAAGGACAGAAAGACAGAAAAGAAAACGCAAAGGAAAGAGAGAAAGATAGGTGTAGTGACAAGGCCCACTAGTTACGAAACCTGCTAGTTACTGACTACTTAGCCGCATGAATTAAATGCACTAGTTAGCGAGCGGGACATACGTCTTAAACCGCCCGGGTAGCTAGGAGTAGAAACGGAGAAACAGAAGGAAAGGTACCGACACACAAGTGTGTCGAGTATCATTTCCTTCTGTTACCCTAGATAGCGGGTGGGATAGAAACACGAATTAGGTTGCAAGGTGGGGAGGGGTGTGTGGAAGTGCAAGTGTGGACAGACACAAGGAACCGTAACGTGTCCGATCTCAAAGTGGTCGTGGTTGGAAATGTGAGACAGTACATTCTTGAAAGTGAAATCAAGCTGCAGACATGAACGTGAATCTGATCAAAGAGAGTGGAATTGCCGTGAAGCCCGGCGGCATAAGTTGCAGGGAATACAGTGGTGAAACCAAATCCGTTAAGAGAATCCAAGGTCTGGTGGAGACGGTCGAAGCAGTTACACGAGTTCCGGAATGAAAACGGCGCCTCCTTGCGGAGGATCACACGCAGCACCCAAGTGGGACGACTGAGCGAGTCACACTCTGACATTGGTTTGCTGTTAACTCAGTTCCCAAGTCAAAGAAAGGTGGTGGAACAGAAAGGCGAAGAGTCCAAGCATTTGTAGGTGTTTGAACAAAGATAACAAAGTGCCTTCACACTTGACTGCGGAAGCTAGTTACTGCATTAGCCCTTTACTGCAAGAACGGTAAGGTGCAAGGGTCCGAAGAACAGAACTGCTTAACAAAAGCACTAGCACTTTACCAAAGCTAAGGAAACCTGATTTGGGGATATCATACGAACAACCACCATGGAAACAACAAAAGGAAAAGTAAGTCACAACAGAGGTGGACACACACACGAATCCGCCACTAAAAAGGATGTGTCCTAGTGTCTGCAGGAGGCTTATCATGTCTTTCCAGCGATATCCAGCCTCGGAACATGCCCATGGGCCACGAAGTCCCATGAAGGCCGTGTCTCACGTCACTTTCATGTCAGGCAATCAATCGCAATGTCGGAACAACTGGCCACCTCAAAACCAAACACGGGAACATGTTCCAAGCAAAAACAGTGTCTAACAGGGTAACAGACACATGTTTTGCATTTTCGTTCCTTACATTACATATCCTTTTCTTCCACACTTGGAACGTGGATCGTGCTGCAATGCCTTAATATATTTGATTCGATTGCCGCTGCCTACCTATGACATGAACGTGACAAGAATGTTGCCGAGTCCACTGGTACATGCCTGAAGAAATATCGTACCCCTTAATTATAGACGCCACCTGAACTTCTTTAGTGCGCTCCCCCACAATCACTGGTGTCCTTAAGCCACACATTTTGCTGGAAGCCTGAAACCGTTTGCCCACAGGTTTGTGGATAATCTTGGTCTATGAACCAAATCTAGGGGGTCCTGACAGTGAAGCAGTCTACCAACCTATCCACTTATCTCCTAAGCACCTGCCTTGCCTACCTGCCTTCCCCCAACCTTGGAACTGGGAGGGTGGAGAAGGATGGACATAATCCACTACTATAATTAATAACACTAAATCAACATAAATCAACATACTGATGTAATTACTGATGTAGAAAAATCATCCACAAAAAACACATCCTTCCCACGGTATCTTACACTTTTCCACCCTGAGGAACCGCCGAACACCCGTATTCATGCCCCGGCATGCCCCGGCTTTCGACGTTTGTGACCGGCGGATATTATACCTTCTGCTCACGAGTGTGTTGCATGGTTTCAACTCGTATTATGAGGGTGACACTGAGCAGAACTGCTAGAAATGCAAGGTGGATTGGTGCTTGCAGGATTGTGCCATCTTTATCGCTCCTTTAGCTCGAGAACGTTGGCTCCATCTTTGGGTGGACTTAGAGTCTGACAACCCGGATGCCTTCCTCAGGTATCCTGGCTAAGTGCAACCCTAGAAGTCTATGTTATTGTTTTATAGCTGGTCTCCAGGAATTGTCTGCTCGCGAAGACTCTCCAGCACCGCTGATGGTTCCATGATGTTCCATTATGTCCAGTTGTACCTGGCCATCGTGAGCATTCCGAGGTCGGAAATCCACCACGATGGCAAGGTATTGAGATCAACAAAGGTTCTGAAGTGGCGAACGGGTGATGATATTCCGGTGCAAGTGCAGCCCAGAAAGGATGCTCGACTGAGGCTCAGAAATACCGGGCTTTTGTCGTGAAGGCCAATGTGAAGCTCCTCAATAGCTTGGATTCAGTTCAGTGGGTAGGCTTGTTTGGCGCACTCGTAGACAAAGCGAGGGAGGGATGGAGATAGATGGAGGGAGGCTGGGAGGGATGCGGGTGGAGGAAGACCGAAAATGCTTGATCCAACCGTGCGTTTGCCTCATTGGCTTGGCCCGTGGTCTTTGATCTTTTTTCGTAGCCGAGGAGTGGCAATGCACACCAGGAGGTGAAGAAGTGAGCCGCTTTGCTGCCCTGGATATACGCTCCATGCATCACAAATCCATCCAACTAGAGGACTCCTGGAGTTCAGAGAGTCAGTTCAGCCCGCTTTGATCCGTTTTGTGATTGAGAGTTGCTGGAGTCACAAGGAGTCACGAGTTTCAACTAGTCGTTTTGTTTCCTTTGAGTTTAAGATATTTTAAGAAAGCTGCAGTAAAGTGCATGCATTGTGAGGGAATGTCAGAAACATCCCAAGAATTGCGGAAGGGCAGCATTTTGCACACGGCAACGACACTGAACTGACACAATTTCTTTGACATGAGACAAGTAATAAATATGTCACACATCTCCTTCCCGCAACGTTGTGGACAGTCACCGCTCGAATGAGCGTCTCATCCGGAGACGAGTCTCCGCGAGGACGCACTCTACTCCTTGCACGAGCTCAATCGAGATTTCACGGTTCGGGAGCTTTTGGGACTCACCGGAGATTTGGCCATCGTGGTGAAAGTTCCTTTGCCACCCACTCTGAGCATGGCGGGCTCTGTCACTTTTGATTATGTGATGCTTGGCCCAAGAGGTACTTGGCGACCTAGGCTTCCTCAAGACCCTGTCGCAGGAGGGCCAAAACCATCTGACCATTCTTGCAGCAACCATGGCATGAGCACAGTTTGGTATTCTTGCACAATGAAAGGTCCGTCGGGTGAAAGAGTTGTACTTGATTGCGCTGCCTTGCTGGTCTCAAGGTGTTGTCACCAGTCATCCATGAAACTGCAGCTGAGGATGAGCCTTGATGAAGGGGATGAAGATGTCAGTGGCAACCTTGCAATAGATGGGCAGAATGGCCGCTTTCGTCTTTCAGCAACTGACACACATGGCATTCGGGTGATCTTGGCCTTAGACGTGGGCAAGGCAGTAGCAGTCAAGATCAAGAGTCTCGGTGGATATTGTGCAAATTCGCGGAGCAAGGACGCTGCTAGGGGCTCCCGGCCTCGCTACAAGGAGCAAGAAGCTACTAGGGGCTCCTGGCCTTACTACTAGGAGCAACCAAACTGGCGAGTCGGACAAGTTGTCCCACGAATTGCCAAGAGGTGCTACCTAGAGTTGCTGGGGTAAACGCAGTCAGATGCTCACAGAATTGCATCACATTTTTTAAATGCCACCTAATTACAAGATACATCAAGATCATATATACAACATTCATCGACATTCTGTGTATTCTCTTCTTTTTGCTTTTTTTGTAGTACCCTCCAGCAGTATGCTGTGCCCACGGTCAGCCGCCGTGGGTCTGAGGAAGCCGGGGCAGCGGGAGAAGTGCCTAAAGATGAATCTCGGTGACATGCAGGATGACATGTTGTTGCCAACACTTGGAGCAGGCCAATGTCCGACAAACAGCCAATGTCCGACTCACAACCGTTTTTGGTTTGTGTTGCAACCGTGTTCCTTTGCACATTCTGCACATGCTGGCAAATGCTTTTGGGGAAAGCACGCTTGGACTCCTGGACCTAGATGAGTGCCTCCAGGCATCTTCCAAAAAGTGGAGGCGCTGGGAAACCAGGAGTGGAATTGCACAGAGCTTACATCATCTTACCTTACATCAATAGTTGAGCATGTGGCCTATCAAGACCCTCTTGCTAGCATGCATGCTATTTGATTGCGCAACGATCTAACTTGACTGTGACATTGACAGTCAGCCAACTTGCTCAAAAGAAACGTGAAACGCCGAGATCCCAATTTGTCCGTGGCTACATGAAATGTATGTCAAACAGTTGCAACAAGCAGGCGGGAGTCCACACCTTTCAAATGGCAGATTGTTTCAGGGAACTCCTTGTTTCGGTGATTTGTTAACCTGGAGTCTGTAGAAAGATAGGGGACTCCAAAATTTGAGATTTAGATGGATCTAGTATGTTCCCCTCAAGTGCGGGTGTTCAGCAATTACGCCATACGCTGTTGAGCTGTCCGAGCTTCATGAGGAGTGCAATCACTTTCACTACTCTGCAAACGGTGGCGTTGACAGCCTTGACCTTTGGTATAGTGAGGCACTGGAGAGATGGACCATGGACAGCAATGGGGGACTTGGATCGTCGTGTTGAATGCGGAAGAAAAAATTGGAATATCATAACATGAAAAAAAATATCATGTCTCATTCTGAAGTCTGGAGGTGATAGCCAGTCATATCTTTGTTATTCTTTGTTCCTTTGTTGGGCAGGAAGAGAATGCCATTTGCCAGATTGACCTGACAAGGCCTGCAACTGTATTTCTCACTGTGCCATCGTATTTATATATAATGCAGAGCAAAACCAATTCAGTAGTAGTTCAGATTTGAGAGCTCCCGACAGTGCTTGTCTCCTAACCAATCTGGCTGGAGTGAATGTTTTCTGCCTTCGATTTTGTTCTTGGTCAACATTTACTTGCGAGTTCTAGATACTTCTAGTTCACTCCACTTTTCTTTGTATTTGTCCAGCCGCCTTAAAGGCTAATTGAGTTTATTGGTGTCGGTGCGTCTCAACGAGACCTTCAAATATCATCTACAGCCATCATTGATCGTGCTCAAGTAGTGTCCTTTGGACTGCTCACACGCTGCTGATGCACAGGTCAGATGCGAAAGATACAGTACGCCTGCAGGTGACCACATACTTGGACTCCTTCATGCCAGAGGTTGGTGGATGTTGTGAAGGGTCTTCTCAGCCAAAGAACAGAACTGAATGCTGTCAGCCAGGGTACATCATGATCAGAGATTTTGGGATGTCATGACAGTTCGCTGTGGCAAACCTTCTCCGATCGCAGGTGTCCCTTTTCAGCGATTTTCATGGTGACGAGGCCTCGCACTCAACACACAATGTTTTGGTCTCACATGCTGGGGTCTACTCAACAATCACCGCAATGTAAGTCAGAGGTGACTTTCAGATTCTGCTGTGTAGACTTCTATGGAAGGCAGCAGGCACTACTACATACTTCACTTTAATATGCTTGCAGGACCAATGGAACTGCGCAACGACAAGCAGAAGGCCGTGGCTGCATCATGGTGAGGGACTACTTTCCGATAGTGCTGCTCCCACAAGCGAGACAGCAGGAGCCATCACGGAGGCACTGGGACAAAGAAACACAATCAATCATCATGAATGAATAATGTATTATCTATCATGCCTCAAAGAGCCTTGTAACCCCAGTTGACAACCGACATTTCTTGCACGTCATTCAATGGCCCTACTGTACCTGAGGCGCTTGGAATGCTCGGCTTGCTGTCCAGCCAGGCACAAAGCAAGAAGCAGCAGCAACATGCAGCAACAACATGTCCTTGGTTGAGAATCGAGAACGTTGAACAATCAATCGAAGCCTAGGTGTCCAGTATGGCGAACGTTGCTAATGCATGTTTAATACACCGGTCAAAATCCATCACCTGTCTCACAGGCCACAGCTGTCGTCTCTTCTCTCTCCTGGGATGAAGCGCTGTCGATGAGGCGAGCGCAGCGGTCAACCGAAGCAGACCGAAGCATGGAGCTCCACCCACTTGACCCTCAAAGGGAAGGGCCCGCGGCCCGGTGGTTGAGCCGTTCTACTCATGCACGATGTTGAGCCGTTTTTTTGTTTTTCCGCTATAGCCCCTTTGTTGAGCCCGTGAGGTTGTTGAACACAGAACTTTGACTTATGTTTTACAGTAACGAGATAAAGCAAGTATGGATTCTCAACCTTGTGGAGTAGGAAAAAATAGCACGTCACGCCGCGATATTTCAGAATTGTATCAGTACAATCTGCAAGCTATGATAAGCTATGAATAGAACTACATTTCGGCCTAATTTTCTTACCTGTGGCAGTGGCAGACTTGAAATCTTTGATTTAGATGCTAGAATACTCTAGATATGTAATTATGCTTAGTGGTTGAAAATCTTTGAAACATGTTCTCTCAGAATTGGTGGGTGCCACAAATTAGATAAAACTTTGGAGGAAACAGGATTGAGCGATAGCAGAAACATGCAGAAACCATTTGAAACCCATGAGTGGGGAATACACACATACATAGAGACATATAAGGGAGAAACCATCATTGCGGTGGAGCTACAATATCCTTAGATAAGCATTGTCAACAAACCAAAATACAGAGTCTGTCCGCATATATATATATAGAGAGAGAGTGAGATCAAGTACACTGCTGTTTGTTCCTTTTGCACGTCCAGGACCTCAAGCTCCGGCATGGTACTCAAACGTCAAGATCGTGCACCTCCTTGCTGCTTGACCGACGGCCTGCAGGTGAGACAAGACAGACACCTCGCCCGGGCCATTGGCCCGTGATAGACGATAGTAATAGCTTCTTGTTACTACTAGTAAGGCACTTGTTTCTAATAGCAAACATTGTTACTACTAGTAAGGCACTTGTTACTAGAAGCGATGCACTTGTTACTAGTAACAGATAGTGGGGCATGCGTGATACTGATGCCAGCCGCTTGTATGGCCTCACACCTAAGAAGAAAGACAGCAGCTTTTCTTTCGATTCGAGGGATACTTGGCACAAAGTAAAATCAGTCTTCCCAATTAGCACGTTATATAATATTTGTTCACGAACCAGTAGCAAGAAAAAGTCTCTCATGTTGATTGCCTGTGAAGGGCATTTGCTTGTTGGACAGGCGGAATCCGGTATGGCTTCACCCTTGGTGCGAAGCTTCGACGGTGAGTTAAAATGCTTTGGAAGCGGAGAAAAATCCGAACAGGACTGCTTGCCTATATAGTTTCCATCCCCCATTACCCAAGAGAAAAAAGGTTCTAATATGAGACAGCCTGTGCAAGTACCTTGCCTTTTGGCAGCCACAGTTCCAGAAGTACGCGGTCTCCATTCTATTGCCTTCTTGAATGGGAACCTGGATGGCCTGCGCTGCAGGACTGGATTGATCAGTTCGCTGAGCTCAGTGCCGATCCACGACAAGAGATGACAGGGGTTTGTTTGTCAGATGGCCTCTTGGATGGCTAAGTACAATCTTTGGGCAATGTATTCTAATTATGGTGTATGGTTTTACCAGCGACGGCATATTGATCCGAGAGCTGCCCAAAGCCCTGGACGTACTGAATGAAGTTATGTATGTGTGTATATTACTGTATACGCATTCGTGCATAAAACTGGGAACCAAGAGGTTCTCAAGATTCCAAAGCTATATATACCTTGATATGGAATGAGTATTTTACTCTGAAGTGCATTGTGGGCTCCCTCAGTCTGTCTAAGGATACTACAGGCACGAGAACGCAGGCCCAGGGCCCTCGACAAGTGTTGATGATTTCGTCAATGATGATGTGATGTCACCCTTGCTGTCACTCAGCTGCCCTGACTGGTTGTCTTGCGATTATGCACTCGTTGTAATCACAACATGTAAAACATTGTAAAGCCACTGTTTCCAAGAGTGTTCACACTATGAAAAAGCTCTACGTTACAGATGTAGATCGAGCTTTGTCCATAGGCTGTTTCTAAATGGTACATGTTTGTCCGTAAACCCATGGAGAGTCAGACACCTAGATGTGTGCTTTCACAACCATCTATAAACGTTGAGAACGCGACGATCAACTCTGAGGAAGACCTTTGGATTCACTTTCGAATCCACACACCCGCTGAAGGGCTACCCTGAAGGGTATGGTGGAGGTCTGAAATTCACTGGTGAAGTTTGGCGACATCGACATCACGGACATGGAGAGATCCGAGTGGATTTGGAACATCGCCGGACACATAGCCAAATTGGCTGGTATGATTTATGATGTTCAAGTGTGTAAATGTCCATCGTGCATCCCATCCGGAGATATCGACAACTCAGCCTTGTGCAGGTAGATCGTTCTGTTGTTCTTGAATGTATAATAAATCCACCAAACGTTTTTCAATTGGCCACAGGACACCAACATATTATGGCGTGCCACCATGTCAACACTTGCCAAGGCTGTACCTTCGGAGCGAGACCAAAGAGTTCTCCAGTGGCATCCCAGAGGTCGTCAGCGAGATCATTTACAGGCACTGAGAAAGCAACTGCAGAACTGGGACCGGAAAAGTTAAGCTATCGTTCTGCAAACAGAACCTCCACGCAGGAGGTTCGCTTCGTAAATTGAGTTGCTTGTTTCCAGTCAAGGTGCTTGTCGAAGCTTCCTTTTCGTTTCTTATTGTTATTCTGCTTCGAGTTTGCTCGGATTAACGAAGGATCAACATGAACAAAATTGATTTGCTAATCCCACTCAACTTTTTTTCAATCAGACTGGACATATATATATATATATGTAACTATATATGTATGTATATACATAATATATATATATAGTAACTTTGGGCGAAAGTGAGTCAGCGGCATGGAATCATGAGTTCCAACTAGCTTTGTGTTGAAGACAGGCTGGTTTATGTATGTCTACACTCTTAATGTATGGCGTCCATTGCGCTTGGTGCTCTTCAGGGGTGACAGAAACCAACTGTGGGCTCGATCTCTCTTGGATAACTACGAGCAGTGCTGGCAAATAGACACCTCTCAGGCAAAGCTGTTCCCGCTGGTTCACACAACTGGGCAGTGTTGGAGGTTTTATGGAGTTTTGACAATTGTTCTGTGGACCAGTAGATTTAGCCCACCAACGTCTTTGCTTGTGGCATGGTTTAGGAACTTCTTCTGTCTGGAGCACCAGAGCTTGTGTGATTGTTCCTAGATTCTAGACTTTCACTTCCCAAGTTGCGTCATTTCAGACCTCACTATCAATTCGATCCAATTCACAGCTACTATGTTCATCAAGGAACCTCAACTCGCGGGTGAATCCAGCGGGTTGGAGGCCATCGCTAGTAGTTTGTTTGCCATCGCAAGTAGGTTGGAGGCCATCGCTATTGGGTTGGAGGCCATCACTAAAAGGTTGGAGGCCATCGCTCTTAGGTTGGAGGCCATCGGTATTAGGTTTGAGCCACATCATTTGCAGATCTTTGTGTATCTCCTTACCCCTCGGCACCTCAAAGCCTTAGAAAGTGGCAACACTCGCAGAGGTTGATTCATGGTTCACTGGAAGGCCGAAGCAGGTCCCGCTGTCAGCCGGAGGCACTTCCAAACCAACAGGGAGCTGCAACGAATCCCTTCAGTCGAGGAAAGCTTTCAGGCCACGGTGCTGTGCCAGGATCAGGCTCCAGGACAGTGCCATGGCACAGCCATGGCAGTGTTGAGGTGATGTTGGTTGATTCATGGAACATGCTGTTTCATTCAGGGATAGCATTTAAGCCTGCCAGTGCCGTCACCAAGGCTCAAAAGTATACCTTCTTTATAGCTCCTGAGAAGCGCGTGGACGTCTTCGTTGATGAAGACCACACTTTGGCATACTTGGAGCTGACAGACTTGAATCGCGACGTCGCAACAGGCGTGCATGCGAATTCATGGATCACTGCTCCTTTGAGTGCCTTGCGCTCCCTTTTGGTTTGTAGACTTTCACTCTTTATTTATATATATATATGTGTTTTTCATGCGTGTACCGCATGTACCTTGTTAATTGGTGTTGTATGAGCATCTTCAGATGCATTTGGCTGCAGCTGAGGTGAGGAACTCTTTGAAGTGGGAGAGGATTGGCAATGCGAGCAGGAGCTTCCTGATGCTTGGAAACAGATGCAAGAACTGGGTTTGACTCCAGATTCCAGTTCCAACACCTTTCATATAACTACACTTCCCGGAATAAGTGTTCAAAGCCAGTGTATAGATTACGGGGACTTGCAGTGTATGGGCTCTGTGACTTGCCAGAATGCTTCAGAAGCACTCACTACTCACTACTTTGATTTTTGTGCTTGAGGGTTACGTCATGAAGCGTCTCATGTCATAGAGTCTTTTGTACATTCAAGCCACTCATGCCCAGGATAGATACCTGGATCAATTGGCCACCTGGGATTTGATACAGGTCTTTCTGCCTCAGTGATGCTTGGGCGGACCAGTTGAGCCAAGAAATCGGCTCAACACCATTTCCTTTGTTCAGCTCCTGTGGTCTTTGCGGTGCTCGTGTGGTCTGTGCAGCGCTCGCCCGATCGGTCCGACACGTCACGGACTCGGTCGATGAGCGAGATTTCTGTCGTAGAGATCTGGCAGGAAAAGTTAGTGACCTCATCGTTTGCCGTGTGACAATGAACAAGTCATGGTAATCAATAGAAAAAATATATATATATATAATTATGAATTATATCTATCTATATATTTATTTGTTTATATAGGTCCAAATTTACAAAAGCCAGTTTAAGATGTTGGCTGACTATCTTTAAACATGTGAGATGAGTTGGCCATGCAATTGTTCCTTTTTTTCCAGAAGAATGTCCTAGCTTCGATGTCAAGTTGTGATTCTGAGACATTCCAAAGAAAGATCCATTTGTAGCTTCACGGACGTCGGGAACAGCTATTTCACCTGCCTCACTCATTGACGCATTGTCACGTTTGTAGTCTTGAAGAGAACAGAAGGAACTTGATATAGGTACAATGTGTGTTACCAGTAGAAACTTCCTTCCTGAGGACCTCTGAAGATTTGGCGAATCTTCCAAGCTGGGGGCTGAGGATGCGTAGGCCTAGGAGGAAGCTGCTGTTTATTCTTGTGTCCAAAACGCATATAGTTGACCTTGTACTCATCCTTCTGCGGATGGTTGGAATTGCTCGTTACAGGTGGAAGCATCAGACAAGGTGTTTGTGGTGCTTGAACCATCATTCCTGGCTGCCTGACGTGTCCGCTGAGGTTTGTGGAACCCGTACAGCTGGCATTTTTGGAGAGCTTCCGATTAAATGTAGGTTGTTTGTGGTGTGTCAATTTGTGTGGTATGGAAATCTTGACGTCCCCTCCACGTCTCCCTGAGGGTTCAAGGGAACAATCACCACCTTTTTTTGTTGGGACTGTGTCGTTTAATTTCCCCCAGCACCGTGGCCAGGTTTCTTGAAGAGGCCTGAGCTGCCTGATGACCGCAAGTAGCTGCTTTTGCTTGGGGAAGCCGGAATGGCAGTCCGGAAGTTCTTGACTGCATACTTCCTATTGTCATCTCCTTGATACCCCGATGATAGGCAGCAAATCAATTTGGTACAAACAAACAAAACACACACCAAAAAAAGCGCATGGATGCGTATGGATTCTAGCTGAACCTCTCAGCTGGCAGTTGTTGCCCTTATTTACATCGTGTGCGTCGTGCTGGAAAGGTTGAGAGTAGATAATATCTTCAACATGATGAGCTTTGCATATTCAGATTCCCAAACTCAGTACTTGTCAATTTTGAGATCTTGTCTTTTGCACATCCGTCAACTGCTTGGTCAGGATCCAGTGCCGGGACCCTTGTGCCACAACCCTGTGTCCTTTGCCATTTCGCCGTGGCCTTAGGACGCTGCCCCTGCCTGTCTACGTGACTTCACCTCTGGGAAAAGCCACAAGTGAAAGCAATTATGACGCGAATCTTCCCAAACAACAACTTTATTGACTTGTGCTTGTTTTAAATATCTTTTGAGGGAGAGAAACACGTAGACAAGAAGATGTATATAATATAATGTATACGTACAGCCAGAATGAAAGAGGGATTTACTGTAAGGAGAGATGGACAAACTTCACTTGGACCCGAGGATGTTTTACTGCACCTCCTCCACTCTAGCAGTTCATTGTTGTTACTAGTAGTTCGCAATCTCTTGGCTGAGTTCCGCCTGATATCATGCTCATCCATGCATTGCCGAATGCGTAGATGGGGATTCATCAAGACAAGGTTGTCCCAAGTACCAGTTTATGAGAGAATTGTTATGTACGATATGATGTCATGTGATCAGTGATAATATGATGCTTTTAGGCAACACCTTGCTGGCCTTTTCCAAAGTAGACCCAAGCTTTGAAGCTGGTCAGAAGATTGGCACAATCAACCTGCATGATCATGCCTTGCTTCTGTCATACCGGTCCTGCCAAGCCACTAAGGCAGCAGCCTGATTTGAAAGCAGAATTGGGCAGTTGGCGACTTGAGATGGAGGTGTGAAACATGGGACCACAGTCGGACCACCATAACATGGTGATTGGACTCTGTCAGACCAGTGGACACTCGGACCAAAACACGCCGAACAAAAAGAAAGACATCGAGAAAGAGGATGAAAGAGGATGAAAGAGGACTACACACCTGACATCACCTCCTCACGTCACCTCCTCACATCACCTCCTCACACCACCTCCTCACGTCACCTCCTCACATCACCTCCTCACGTCACCTCCGCACATCACCTCCTCACATCACCTCCTCACGTCACCTCCTCACGTCACCTCCTCACACCACCTCCTCACGTCACCTCCTCACATCGCCTCCTCACGTAACCTCCTCACATCACCTCCTCACATCACCTCCTCACACCACCTCCTCACATCACCTCCTCACATCACCTCCTCACCTCACCTCCTCACGTCACCTCCTCTCATCACCTCCTCATATCACCTCCTCACATCACCTCCTCACATCACCT